AATATAATTAATAAGTGTTTATTAAACTTTTATATAAGCTGCATGTTTAACGGACAGTAATGAGGTTTTAGTCTACACCTCTTGTTATTCAGAAGCTTCTTTGGGTGCCCCTTCACATTAGGTGCTCTACACATATATTATGATGGGAAATCTCTCTGCACCTTGTCTGTATTGTGAGAATAGAGATATGGTCCCAACAGGCAGAAGATGACAGAAGAAAGCCAACTCTCCATTAATGACTGAATGTTTCATTTATGATCTGTGAGGCTTCCTGCAAGAGCTGGGAACTGAATCCAGACACCCACAACTCTGTCCTCCCTCTGTGGCCAAAGTGCTGGAGCTGGTACCTGGTGTGCGCAGAGAGAGCTCTCGTGGGAGCCACGGTGGTCACAGGAGGCTGGCAGTGCCACGGAGGGCAGCCACCTTTGGGAAAGGCTTGGGTGGGGTGGAGGAGGCAGTCAGTGGTTCTGAAGTGGGGAGGAAGAGGGTTGAGCTCCCTCCAAACAAAATAATCCAAAGCTCCCTCTCTGCAGTCCTGTTTGAATCATCCAGTAATGGAAAGTGTTGCCGTACCAGTGGGTCCAAACAGGCATTTGTACCATCCCCCAGCTGTACTGACAGGCTGTCGCATCCCGGCCAGGATGCAGTGCTGAAAGGGCACGTTGAGGATGGCGGGGTCCGGAGCTGGTCACAGGGAAGACTTGAGTCATGTCTTAATGTTGTTCATGCTTTTGTCTCTGCAGCGGCTGCAGAGTGAACTCCCCCTAACCCTTGAACAGCTGGAGACTGTTTTTGACAGCTTGGAACAGAACAATAACGGATACCTGACACCTGTAGAGTTCAGCATGGGGCTAGGTAAGGACTGCATGGAGGCAGAGGACGGAAAAAGCCCACCTGTGACACAATGTTTTTTGTCGGTAAGAGAAGTGCAATGGTTCTGCTGAGGCTGTAGCAGCTATGCAGGGCAATGCCCCATGCTTGTGTGAATATCACTGGAGAAGGTGTGTGTGCAATACCGCTATCTCCCTTCCTGAGGCTTTGTGTTGCCTTCTTCCATGACTGTTACCTGCCTACCGGGGAGAGACAGCTTCTGAAAATCTCCTCCTGGAGATGGTGCATACCGCAGCCTGTGTCTGATCCACAGCTGTTCATCTGGATAAGGACCCCCACTGGATGAGGGGACAGAATATTGCCTCTTGGCAACTGTCTCCAGCTGGTTCATACAGTGCTGTTCAAGGATATCGACAGTCCTCCTGTTAGTAGGCTAGCACACTGGCAAAAAAGCTTTTGTTTTCCTCTTGCTGTTGCCTTTTCCAGCCACTAGGACAATGCTAATCCTGTACCAGAGTCATCATCCAGCAGTGCAAGCAGTGCAAGAGTTATTGAGGAGGAGGAACAGCCGTAGCACTAATAACCTTTGCCATAGGTGCTTACTTGCCTTAGCTGGTTGTAAGCTTTCAGAAAATCTGCACCCTGTTAGCACCTTCCTTGGACATGTTAATGGATTGGATCAAAGCAAGTGAACACAGCTGGTGTAGGGTTTTCAGAAGAATTGAGGAGGCTCTTGAGTTGCAGTGTCCTCTTTGCTCAGATTGTGGTTGCTCAGGGCTTCCTCAGGACTTGGAGAGAAGGGGATCTTTTTGGTGCTTCAGTCTGAGTGACCATAAACCGCCAGCCCTGAAAGGAGAAGCTGTAAAGATTTCCTCCAAATAAACACGGAAGGTGTGTCTTGGGCCAGCCTGTTCTGGGAATGTATTAACCCACTGAGTGCCTGCTGACTGTGCCTGTTTCTGCCTTGTGTCCCTTCCTGCGGGGGTGAAGCTTCGTTGTCTGGTTCTGCTGCCTTTGCCAAAACCAAGAGCAATCTCAGGAGTGTGGGCTTTCCTGCCCTGCACCATGTAGAAGGTGAACGGGTGTCATGTGGGCACCTTGGCACCCACAGTGCCCTCTGTGTAATGACTTGGTTTGTCACAGATCTTATTGTTTGAGGCATTTGGCCCAGCCATAGCCATCGATGGGCATCATGGGGGTACCTGCCCCAGTGCCATTGCTGCTAGAGGTAGACAAGATTTCTGTTTGTGCCAGGTGCCACCCTGTGCTGGTAGCCTGGCTCTGTGGGACTTGATCCAGTCTAGGCAAAGCACTTATTTTCTGCATTTCTTTTCTTTGTGGCTATTCTTTGAGTCTGGCTTCACTGAAATCCTTTTCAGATTTTGCCTGTAACTCAAGAGTTTGGCCTGGCATATTGCTGTCTTCTGGAGTGTGCGTGGAGGAAATTGAGGGAAGTGGTTCAAGCTGCAATCAGCTCTGCTTCTTGAGAGGGCTCCTTGCACAGCCTCTGAGAGGTTACAGGGTGCATCTGTGCAACCAACAAAAGAGCATACATTTAAAATGTTCAATCTAAAGCAACCTGGGCGCCTTCTAGGATGTCAAAACAATCTTCAGATCATTCCCTACCTCAATTTTCCCAGCTGTAAAAGAGAGACAATGAGACATAATGACTCTTTAAAGCAGACATCCAGAGTGCATAATCTAAGCTCATGTCCTTAATTAACTGCCCAAGCCTTAGGCTTTAAGCAGAGTAGGGCCCCTGTCTCCAAACTGCAAGATTTTTTACAGCACATTTTAGGAGTGGGAGAGAAGTGGCTAGGTTCTGGACATATGGAGCTAAGAAGCAGTTAAGTGACTTGAGGTACACAAATAGTGGATATTTTTCCCCTTAGAGCAGCTTCATGTTCTCATCCATGCTCTGAACATCCTTGTCTCCTGGTCCTGTTAGCTGGGATGTGATTTCTGCCTTTTGAACCAAGCAGATACGTTTTGGAAAGGAAGCACAGCTGCTAATGGAGGTCTGACCTCTGTATATGGGGTGGGGGCGTGCATTTTGGTTAGGAATGGTTTATTTGTTTCTTTGAGAAGAAATTTGTTCCCAGCACCAGTTATTTGTCACATGCCTTGCATAGCATGGCGTTCTCATGACATTAGTGTCTCAGTGTGAAACAGGATCCACATAGCTGGAAGCCATCCATATGTGGGACGGTGCAGGAGGGGGTGTTCAGAGGTTAAGTTCATTTTGTTCAGTCGGCACAATTCTAGCAAGTGGCACTCCTTGTCCCATAGCCCTTGAATCAGAAGAGATGTTGCACATGAGAAGGGAAGGCTATGATCTCCTCCTCACTTTTTTGAAGCTGGGGAACTGAGGTGTGGTGGTGTTCAGTGCTGGGCTTGCAGTCCCAGAGGGAGCTTGTTGGGATCATTGGCAACTGAACCCTCAGTGCCTGTCTGTGGGAGTGAGGTGACCTCATGCTGCATGCTTCCCATGCTGCAAGTCCAAGGCTGTGGGCGGTGGATCATCTTCACACAGATGTGAGCAGAGCCCTAACAGCCTGTTGTTGAGCTGGGAGCCAGTTTCAGTTCCAGCATTGCAGACTGGATGCTGACATCACTCAGGGTGTCAGAACGAAGGCTGTTTACTGACCAGGAGCTGTATTCCACACCAGCAGCCTGCAGGCAGCTTACCATGGAGCTCTGTCGGGCTGCCGTTTAAATAGCAGCTTATTAAATGACATCCAATTTGACTTTCTTTATTCTCCTTCTTCTCTTCTCCTTCTACCAGGAAAGTTAATGGGGATTGAATTGTGTCAGGGGGCTGGGAGAATGGATCACTCCAGACACGAGGAGACCTTTGAGTCAGGCTGGTCAGATGACTTGGACCCAGCAGGTGATGATGAAGAGAAACGATTCTGTTCCATGATGGAGCAGCTTGGAGCAACCCACATGTTTGAAGAGTAAGTAGGGGAGTTGCATGGCATTACTGCTGCCCTGTTTTGATCTAGCAATACCAAAACTTCAAAGTACCAACAAAGACCAAAGAGGTGAACTGAGCTGCTTGCTCTCTGAAGCACTGCTTGGGCTTTCTGTACTGCTGTCTTGGGTATTCATATGCTTGCTAACACATGGAGTGAACTCTCAGTTTTCTCATCATTTTACTTTTAGCGCAGTGCTTTTCGCAATGAGTTTCCCAAACTAGAGTTCCTACCACAGCTGTAAAATGTAGCAGCTGGTGGTGTGGAAGTCCATCTGCACACAGCAAATGAAAAGAAGCATGTGAGGCTTAGGCAAGGAAAGGAGAATGAGTGTGCTGGCTGTTCCAAAGCGGTGGATGACTGGTCACATATGTTCAGACAATCCTAGTTCTAAGAGTCTCTGTGAAAGATCTGTGCTCAAGGGGGTGTTTGGGACTGGGCTGATCTTGAAAAGTGTGGAAGGCTAAACTGGGCAAGGGATGCTCACCTGAGCCTTGACATTAATGCCCTTGCACGTGGCCGCAGTAGAGTCTTCTGGCCCCAGTGTCATCCAGCCTTTTTTTAGGGCCTTCCCAAGTGAGGCATTATGCATAACTGGCTCTTACTGGTGCCCATCTGCTGGGGCTGGGGTGCCTAACAGCATCGGTGGCAGGCCTTTGTTTTCAGGCATTGTAGTCCAACAGTGCTACCAATTTGCAAGGACCAGCCCAGATAGGAGCAGGAGACATACAGGATTGGACACAGAAGCAGAGAGTGAAGGTGTTTATTGTTTTCAGTGCTGCATCTGTCATGAAAAAGATTTTTTTTCTTCCTCTTATTTGCATTGTGATGCAAAGCATCTCCATGTTTCTTTTAATGCTAAACAACGTCTGTCCTGAAAAATTCTGGAATGCTCTTATGTCTCAAGTAATAGAATGACACTGTGAAAGGCCATAATATTACTTTTCCATCAAAATAGCCTCTGCTATTTTTAAATCTGCTTTGAGAAGCAGCTTAAAGTGGAGTTATCCTGTGTTTTATTTTGACCACTTACTTGCAGTTTTATGCAATGAGTTCAGTCATGACATGCCTTTGTGCCAAGCCAGCTGGCTGTAAAGAAGCGAGTGATATAAAACAGAAATTAACTGAGGTCGGAGCAGGAATCTGAACTATCTTCACTCTTTTCACTGGAAAGAAATGGCTTTGTTTATTAACGGGACTCAGTAAGTTCTGTTATCTAAACCACAAATTTTTGATGAAGTGCTAGTAACTTTTTCAGCTTGGGACAGAAGAACGAGTCTATCATGTGGTGGTGGCAGGGGGAATCAAGAGCTTTCTGGGGTTTTTTTGTTTTTTTCACAGTGAACATTAAGGGAGGTAAATACATAGACAAAAATATCTATTTGGATAATGTCTATAGGTATAATTATTCTGTACATTTCAAGGCTGTTCCTCCAAAGTACTTAATGTATTTAAAAAAAAAAATTAAAAATTATGAAAAGTTCTTCCCCAAAAAGAAGCATGAAGTAATGTCTGCAGGCTTGTAAGACTCTTTGGGAAAAAGTAAGTTTACAAGTGCTATGTTCAAGTTGTGATGAATTAAATGCTAAAACAGTGTAATCTTTATTGCAGGTTCAGAAAAAGGAGACTTTGGGTTTCCAGGGCTTCCTCTCTTATTATTCTGATGTGACACCTGGGCAAACTTGCTTCTTTTGCCACAGTTTCCAAAACTGTAAAACAAATAAACAACAGGACAGGAGCATCCACCGGTACAGTCTGGGTGTGATGTGTGCTAAAATCCCTGGGCTATAAGAGTTTGCTGCTTGACCATAGCTCAGAGCAAATTTGCTGAATGTTCATCTCTTCGAGTCTTGGTTTAGACACCAAATGTGTTATTGCTGAATACTTGAAAAATAATCATTCTAGGTTTGCTTCCTGGATGACTTTTCCTCTTTCAGATTACTTCCTTTATTTTAACCACCCAGTAGATGTTACTCCACAGGCATGCTCTGTCAGCGTCCAGCTTCCCTCTTTGCTGTGATGGAGGTCATCAAAGGAGAAGGGCAGTTTCTCCGTCCCGAGTGCATGTTGGACTTGGAATAACAGTCCATAAGATGACACAGAAACTCATTTGCTTTCTGTCTCTCTTGTATGCTGGCTCCAGTCCGCGTGAGATTCGGGAACTCTGGGCTCGGCTACGAAAGGAGCATCCGGAGCTCCTACCCAATCTTGAAGAGTTCCTGTTGCGTGTTTCATCGTACATAAGGGAGGTGAATCATGAGAAGGAGACTATGGAGCAGGCATTGAAACGGTAAGGAGAACAGCATGGTCGTTGGCTGTCAGGAGCCCGCTGATGCTTGGAGAGACTGGGTTACATGATGCAGAGATTTTTCTTGCTGTAATAAAATTACTCTTTGTCTTGATCTGGTCCCCCTGGGTTTGTTTTGCATCGGTGCCCACCCATAACATTTGGTCTGGTTAAAATCCCACTCAGCGCCACAGAGCTGTTAGTGGGAATCTGTTTCCACCCTCCTCTCCTGTTTTCTTTCTGTATTCTCTTTCTCTCTCCTGACCTGTGTGCACCCTGCCTGTTGTAGGAAGGAGACAGACCATGACCAGGAAGTCAGGTGCCTTTATGAGGAAATGGAGCAACAGATCAAAGCAGAAAGGGAGAGGCTTCTCTGCCAGGTACATAATGTCTGTTGGCTGAAGTCAAGCTCTCCCTGGTCTGAAGCAGAGGTGGTGGCTCATCTATCTGAGGAACAGCTCTTACTGTGCTGGATGTTGTTTGCACTGTTGTGTATCTTTATCCCTGCAGGAAGCACTGAGACATGACAAGAGTAATGTGCTCCAGAAAGAACTGCACAGCAAAGAGCAGGAGCTGGAGAAAATTCTCTACCGCCAGAAAAAGGTAACAGGACCCAAATCCTTTCTAAAGAAGCATGTCCCCTTTTCTGACTGAGAATGGTTTTCATCTGCTGAGGGTTGGTACTAGCTAATCTAGTACTAGCTAGTCTAGTTCTCTGCTGTCTCTGAAGGTATTGAAGTGGTTTATCAAGTGATTGGTTTGTCTTCAATTGTAATGTCTTCCTGTGAATGTTTTGTCTGTGCATGTTCTTATCTGCTTTGTTTTCTCTTGGCACAATCTTCCTATCAGTTGTACAATAACTATTTGGCAAGGAAGATGGGGTAAAAATTTGGAAGTTGTGAGTTTAGAGCCTTTTGTGGTGTGTAAGAAAGCTGTGTATGGACATACGAGAGACAACTTTCTCTGGTTTGTGTTTTCTGGCTGCTCCAGAATAACCCAGAGCGAACTGTTCTGTGATGCTTAGAGCTGTACATACTGTATATTTGCATTTCAGCACCTAATGACGTACTGATTAATCAGTCACAGGAAAGATCAAAGCAGAAACTTTCCTTTAGCCTGCCATCCCTGGCATGGATACTTGTGTGGGATGGTCCATTCTGGATGTCTTTTTCATTTTTGTCTGAAGAACTGAGACATGACCCCCACAGAAACAAGTCATGGGAGGTATCTGTAAGATGCTGGCAACGGGGGGGGTATCCAAGTTGGATACCTAGCTGTGATGTGGGTGAAATGGCACTTCTGTGAAATCATCAGCTCATTGTGCAGCGGCTGGGAAAGGCAGCAAAACTTTGGTGCCATCAGGAAGGATATTGAGAATAAGATGATGTAATTTTCCTGCTGCCCACACCCTTGATGTGCCTCAACTGGTGTGTGCAGTTCTGGTCTCCTCTAACTCCACGGTGTCCTTCTGGAGTAGGAAGGTACAGAGAGCTAATGTGATGAAGGAGATGGAGCATCTGCCTTAAGAAGAGAAACCAGGAAAGCTTTGACTTGCCTTTGGAGAGGAGGAGACTGAGGGAAGATATAAGTGAGCTTTATGGACTCAGGAAGGTGGTGGATAGGGTCCACATAGAACTGTCATTCCCTAAATCCTGCAACAGCAGAGGTGAGGGACACTCAGTGAGACCAGTAGGAGTTTGATTTAGAAGAACATACTTCTTTATGTAGAGGTTAGTGCTGGATTTTTTGCCACAGGAGGCAGGCAGTATCAGCAGTTCAAAAATGTATTGGACAAACAAATGGACAACAGGGAAATGTTAGGAGGAATAGTCAGGGATGTGTGCTGGGGGGAGGGGGGGTATGAGGGGAATGGACTGTATTTAGATGTCCAGGCATGCTCTTCATAGGTAACATCTCCTCTTGCTATGTGTCAAGGCAGAGTACTGGGCTACGTGGACACTTATTCTTGCTCAAATGGTCATTTCTGATGCTCTTCACTCTGAGGCTTGTACTAAGCTATGTGGATAATCGGGTCCCTCCTGTGGTGTAAGACCAGTATTGTGATTGTGCTGTTCTATTGTATCGCTTCCAAGTAGAGACAACAGAAATGGGAGAGTTCGGTGTGACAGAGACTTCTTAGGGAGGGGCAGGTGCTTTACTTAAAGTCTGTCCTCTAGCTTATTGGAAGATCTAAAGCCTGTGGGCAGTGGTTGCTGTTTTAGTCTCAACTCTACTGCTCAGCATGTGTGGTCGTGCTTAAATTTTCTGTGCTGTCTAAAGGACTGGAAGTCTCCAGACAATGCTGGCTGTGACTTGTGCTTGTAGCCTCAGCAGGGATAGATGGAGGGCTTGTGTTTCAAGGAGCCTAGGAAGGGTCAGCTCTGTTCACTGCTGCTCGTGACTGTTGTGTGTGCGTTCTGGCAGAGAGCAGGGCGGCAAGAAAAAAAGGCATTTTATCTTGTGCCAGAGTGTGCTGCTTTACTTCCCCTTTGAGAGTCTATCTGAAGGAGCAGAAAAGGCAGGCTGAAGGTATAAACGGGTTTCCACAAGAGTCCCTGCTCCATGGTGAGATTGAGATCACATCTCTTTATGTCCTTGCCTAACTTTCTATGTGGCAAGAAGTTGTCACACATGGTATTTTAAATACCCTTGGCTCTGTGCTCAAAACTTTTGGGAACTTTTAGGAAATGTGATCTCTTGCCCTGTATTCTGCTTGTGCTGCTGTCTCTAACACAACCACCTCGCCTTGAACCTGTGGAGGCCAAAACTGCCACCCACTACACTGGTCAGAACTGGTTCCTGGTTCTCCCCTCTGGTTGCAAGCATGGATTGTATAATTCTATTTTGGGGCTGTAAGTTCTTGGCTGGTTACCACAATTTCTGCATAGCACCAGCGTCAGCAGAGGGTCCTGGTTAGCTGGTATGGCTGGCTGGATACTGAAGTGTCAGTATGATCCTTCTGGATCATACTAAAGTTGGTGGGTTTGACTGCTGTTTGTGTCTTTGCCTCTTTCCCAGACTACCCCAACCAGTTGTGAGGAATCACACCACGGGCTGAGTACATGACAGCAGTCTTTGAACTTCCCAAATCCAGCTTGTTAGTTGTGTTGGGGTCTTGTGCAGCTGTGCCCCAGTGGCATCTAAACAGCATCTCTAACCTGAGGTCCTGTCTCCAACAGTAGGAAAAGCCAATCACTTCCTAGGTGTAGTGCAAGATACCCCCAGCACCTCAATATATCCCCCTTTCATCTGCCGTGGGCTCAGGAAGCCCCAAAACTAGAGGATGCATTTCAACAGCCGTGCTTAATAATTCCCAACAGACACACCCCTGCTTCTGCCCAGATTCTTTCAGTCCTCCTTCGACCCTCATTTCCACTTTGATTTCGACAACGCGTGATAGCAGCAAACTCCTCATGCTGCCTGAAGCGCTTCCTCAGCTGTGCCTGACTAATTGCATTGCTTGCTCCCTGGTGCTGGCATGATGAGAAATAGTTCACCTTCCAATTCACCTCCTCAGTGCTGCTGGTGGACCTGTAGACCACAGTTGTGTTTACCTCCCTTCCACCTCATTGTTTACATCTGCTTTTTCAGCCTGTTTTTACAGATATGATTGTAGCACTAAACCCTTCCTCTCTGTGTTTAACCCCTCCTCCTCCTCCTCTCCCATTGCAGCTGGAACATCACCTCCAGTCTCTGAACTCACAGCAGCTGGAGACTCGCGTGCAGAACAAAAGGCTCCGGCACCTGAATGAAAAATTGCTGGAAGAGCTGGAGAAATGCAAATGGGAGCTGGAGGCAGTGAAGGGGCAATTACAGAAGCTCCAGAAAGAGGCCCAGCTTGAGCAGGAGCAGAAGGACAGGTGGGAATTGTCAGGGAAGGGGTTGTCAGGACAGGGACCCAGGTGGAGGAGGAAGGGTGAGCAAGTAGTTAATAAGGATCTCTACTTAAAAGCCTTGGTCTCATCAGAGGATTGCCTGTCTCTTCTTGAAAAAAAGAAGTAACATCCTGGTGGTCTTATGGGCCTGAACAGGGAGTGGTACTGCTGCCTCCTGCCTGCCTTTAGTGGGAAAGGAACATATTCATTGGTATTTAGCTGTAAAAGCAATGTAAAAAATACATATGTTCCTCAACCTAAAGGAGGCTTTTTCTCCATGTGTTTTCCAGTTCACCACTGCATCTATAAAGTTCCTACAGATCCTCTTCTAATCACTTGTATTACTGTTTCTGGGCTTAGTCTAATAATATTTATCTGAAACATTGTAGTGAGCATACTTCCCATCTCTAGCAGCTGAGGAAACTGGAATGTGAAAGTAGAAAATGGGTTACCTGCCCTCAGCTTGGAGGAGAGTAGGAGAGCTGGGGTACAACCCATCCACCCCAGCTCCTGTGGCAGTGTTGCTTCCTCTGAATCCTTCTAGCACAGGACAAGCCCTTATCTTTGCGAATACCACGAGTATCCCTGAGAAATGGATTTTTGTATTTCTTCTCCCAGTAACTTATTTCCCCTTCTAAAATCCCCTTCACTCAGGGATGTGTTTAGAGTCTCCAAGAACATGCAGAAAGAGAAACAGAGCCTCCTTCGGCAGCTGGAGCTCCTTAGGTAAGAAGAGGGCTGGCGGGAGGTGCTGAGCTCGTGTAAACATGAGGGGCTGCGGTTTCAGCACTGTGTTAATTTCTCCCACAGAAAGGTATGGGAGAGTATTCAAGCAGTGCTCAGGCGCTGCTTGTTTTTGTAGGATCAGACAGAATTGTTCAATCTGGCCAGCTCTGGCAGAGTGCAGGATGTGTTATTTCTCCAAGTACTCCCTCCGCTGGAGGAATTTAGTCTTTGCTGCTGGCTAAGGGGACCATGTAGAGGCCATTACCTGCGCTGGGGTACATGGAAATCCCAACATGTCTGGCAATAAATAACAGCTTTATCTGTGTCCCACGTCCCCTTTCTGTCCTAGCTTTCAAATGTTGGCCTTTACTCCATTTTTGATGAGTGCTTCATTGTGTCTCTCCTGTGTCTTCCTTTGGAGCAGAGAGATGAACAAGAAACTTCGAGATGAGCGAGACGCTTTTGAAGCCAAGAAGATGGTTAGCCTAAGAAAGAAAATCTTAATTCCCAGCCACCCTCCTTTCATCTGCTGCTGTTGCTGTCATCAGTCAGGGGCCTGTCACTTCCACGGGGGACAATGACCTGAGCTCACAAGGCCTGGTGTGGTGCTTGATACAGACTTCACTTGCACCTCTCAGCCCGTGCTACAGAGGAGCTCTGCTGGTTGCTGCTGCCTGCTGCCCAGGTTTCACCCAAGGCGTGTTAGCTTAGTGACTGTCACATGCAGGGCTGCAGTGGGTACTGTCTGCTGCACACGTGGGGACTGTGCAGTGTGACAGGCACTGGGCACATGCCAGGGGGGGAGCAAAGCTGGATGCATCCCTGGAGCTTGGTGGTGAGGAAGAAGATGGACTTCCAGATGTGCTGCCAGCTGACTGGAGGCGGAGGGAGATGGGAGGGTTTTGGAGTTTCTCTGACCCCTTGGGTTTGTAGCAGATGTTTTCAGATGTTCTTTTGGGGCAGCACCCTATTCCTGTGACCTCTGCTGAGGCGGAGGTGAAGCAGTGAGCCTTGTGTCATAGGGCTAGGAGAAAGCAGGGGACCTCTGACATCTGGAACAGTCAACTCTATCTCTGGCCTTTCCCAGTCTCTGAGATAAGTACGAATATGTGATCTATTTTTAATACTTATTTTTTTTCATAAAAAAGTCTTAGTGACTTTGTTGCTGGCAAGGCTGCTCTGTGCTCTTCTGGGACCCATCCCAGCCACAATGTGTCTTTGCCTGCTCTGCCACCATGCCCCACGTGAAGATCTGGAAGTAGCTGTCTTGCAGTGAGGACGAGCAGTGTCAGGCTGCGAGAGACTGGCTGGGTGGTGTGTAAGGGAGTGTGGAAGGAAGCGCAGGGATTGTACCCAGGTAGGGGATGAGATGCCCTGCTGAAGGACAGGCTGGGGCTCTCCAAGTTGAGCAGCAACTTCAGCAACTGTTTTGGATGGAAGTGAGGTGTGTGTGTGCCTTTGCACGTGTGCTGCTGAACTCTGAAGGAAGACTTTTTCTTTCTTTTAATTTTAAAGCTGCTTAGTGTGTGCATGAACCAGAGCTTCCAGCTCCCCCTGAACCAGGGACCTGGTTAAGACCATAAGGGCTTGGGCAGGGCTGTAGGGTCCTGGGCAGGGCTACAGGGGGCTGGGCAGTGTCACAGGGGCGTGGTTAAGTCTATATATGGTCCTGGGCAGAACTATAGGGGCCTGGGGACGGCTAGAGGAGCCTGGGGAGGGCTACAGTGGCCTGGGTAGGTCCATAGGGGTCTGGGCAGGCCTATAGCGGCCTGGTATAAGTCCACAAGGGCTGGGCAGGGCTATAAGGCCCTGGGCAAAGCTTTGCAGGTGCAGACAGGTCCACAGGGGCCTGGTTAAGCCCATAGGGGCCTGGACAGTACCATAGGGGCCTATCTGGGGCAATAGTGGTCTTGTTGGAGCTGTAGGAGCCTGGGGAGGCCTATAGGGGTCTCAGCAAAGTAACAGGGGCTTGCTTAAGGTGATAAGGGCCTGAGCAGGGGAACAAGGGCCTGCTTAAGCCAACAGGGGGTCTGGACAGGGCTATAGAGGCTTGGGTGGGGCCAGAGAGGCCTGGGCAGGGATATAGGGGTTGTCAGAGGGGGTGTCAGGCAGGGCCACAGGGGCTTGTGCAGGGCTTCGTGGAGCAGATTTTCCCCGGAGGACGCACAGGCTGCAAGTGTGTGTATTTCCCTGAGCTCCCTTACTTGGAGGTTGGACGCTTTTGACAGCCTTGTGGTCAGGAGGCCATGGACTGCGCCGGTGCGCATTTGTAAAGGTGTTTCTTGGCCTTGTCAGAGGAATAGTCGCCTAGGATAGAGGAGAAGCAGAGAAAAGCAGTGAAGCTGGGCTCTTTTCCTCAAGCCAAAGAGGAAACATCAGGAGGAGGCGCTCAGGCTTGCTTGTTTTCTGTGTGGAAGCCTCTGAAGCCGATTCAGGGTGTGAGCTGGTGGTTTAGCACTCCAGGAGCACAGGGCAAAACGAAGGCGCGCTTGTCTTGCCTGGCCCAAGTGCTGGAGAAATTCAGCTGAATTTCTGCCCAGCCCAGGGTCCAACCACCACTTCCCTGTCACTGCCTGTGGGTCCTTTTGTCATGGGTCAAGAACACCAGTATTCAGAGGGAAACACTGACACCTCTTGTGGACATCCATGCTCTGGTAGGACAACCCATGCCTTTTGAACTGGTCTCTCTCCACTGTGCCTCTGAAAGCATGCCTGGACCTGTCAAACATCACAGATCGTCTCCGTCCTCTAAGGTGGACTGGGCAGATGTTGCACAGCAGAAGCCGGCACCACTTCAGACCCCCTGACAGCCACGTGTGACCCCTCAGCCCTGCACTCCGTCCAAGCTCTGCCCTTGTAACAGCACACACAGCCAAAGACAACAGAGCAGAGCCCCAGCCTGCTAAAAAACACACCTCTGAAATTATGATGTGGTACCAAACCCTAAGGCTTTGCACCATAAAATAGGTCTTTGTGGACTGGATCCTAAAATGGAGGCTTTGGTCCCTGAAAACGAGCCTTTGGGAGCTAAACCTGAGCCTTTGGAACTTATAAACAAGGCTTTGGCCTCTAAAACTGAAGCTCTGAATTTTAAAAGTGGGGTTTGGGACTTATAAGTGAGGGTTTGTACCTGAAAAAATGAGGCTTTGGGATCAAAAGGGAAGGGTTTCAACCCTAGAATCAAAACCTTGGACTCCAGGGGTGAGGCTGGGGGACAAAGTGCCATGACCCCACCCTCCCTTGTGTGAGTCCATGGTAGGGACTCACAGCTGAGGAGGGTGGCCCTCTTGCAGGGCTGGGCGCTGTCAGAAGCTGGGGGAGAGAGGTGCAGAGGTGGCACCAGGCAGCCTCGCTGTTGCACACTTCGTGGAGGTAGCAGCAGGTCTGGCCCAGCCTCAGCAGATCGGGTGGCGTCAGGAAGGAGATGATGTGCAGTAGCTGTGGGGAGAGAGGGGGGAGAGCATCAGCCCTGGGACCCAGCCCTGCTTGGAGGGGGAGAGCCCAGCCCCATCATCCCCCCGACTCAACTTATCACCCCAGGGAAGATGCTGGATGGCGGCCACGTGCCCCGCCTCCTCCCCATCCTTCAGGCTGCTGCAGGGTCACTGGGGCTGAGGGGAGGGGATGTGGATGAGGTGATGGCGATCAGCCCCACAGCAAGCATCACCCCCACCCCTCCTCATCCATCCCCCCACCATCCTGGCAGCCTCACCGTCACGACCTCGCCACCATCGGTCAGATACTGGCAGCGATGGTGGTGAGAAGCCCACTAGCCCACGGCTGCTGTGGATTGGCACGGCCACAGGATGCGGACTGTCTGTGAGGTGGGGGCTCCCACGGAGACGAGGGGTCCCAGAAAATGGGGGCAGCTGAGGGTGGGGGCAAGAGAAGAGAGAGGGGGGGAAGAGGGCCCCTGGGCCAGGACCTGCTGGGCTCCAGGCAGGCCCCAGTGCGCCATGTCCAAGCTCAGCCTGGTCAGCGGCAGAGCCCACCTTCTGCTCCCATTGGTCTGCACCAGCATAGGTCAGGAGAGCTGTCAGTCTCCTCCCCCGAGGTGATGATGCCTCTGATTGGCCCCCTAGGCTGTTACTCTGCCCTGGTTTGGGGCCAGCCCTTCCCTGAGGGCTGTGTCTGATTGGCCCCCAGGCATTCAGGCTGCCCAGGAGCAGTTCCCCTGAGGTGATTCTCTCTCTGATTGGCTGATGGGGCTGTCACTCCGAGCTGGTTTGGCTCTCTGATTGGTCCTCAGGGGGTCTGGCGGCTGTGCTGCAGTGCCCGCCCCTCACCTGAGGTGAAACTCTCTCTGATTGGCTGCCTGGGGGGTCACTCCCTCCCCCCAGTGCCTGCCCTTCCATGGGGTGACATTTCCTCTCATTGGCTGCCTGGGATTTCCCGCTTGCTGCTCCCATCAAATGAGGGTCAGACAGCTTGTCAGTCATCCCTGTGCCTCTCTCCCAGCTGGTGTGATTGGTGGAGGCGGCACTCCCCGCCCCCACACGTTGCCCAGATTTTTTGGCTCTTGCCACCTTTCCTGCAGGCGCCGAAGCCCGAGTGGTTGGTTCCATATCAGTCGTGTGCCTTGTCCCCTCCTCCTCAAATGCGATTGGCTGTCCTGGCTCCACTGACTCCCCACAGCCTCCTGGGTGGACGTTGCCAGGCGACGAGCTGCACCTTTGGGGCTGAGACCCTCAGGCTGAACCCGTGGGCCCTGAGAGCAGGCCGTGGGCCATCAAAGACAGGTTGGGGCTGTAAAAAAAGAGGATTTTGGCCCTAGAAATAGGCCTGTGGACACTCAGAAGGACGGGCGAGATGCTACAAATGAGGCTTTGGACCCTGAATAGGAGGTGAACCTCTTGGTTCCTCCGTGGCCCCCAGAAATGAAGCTTTGGTCCCGAATAAAGGGCTTTGGGCGCTGCAGTGGAGGCTTAGAGCAGTGAAAGAGGGGTTTGGACACTCGAGACAGAGCTTGGACCTTCCAAAGGTGGGTTTGGGCTTTCAAAATGGGGCTTTGGTAAGGAAACTGAGGCTTTGAGCACTGAAATCAGGTTTTGTGCCCTCACATATGGTGCTTTGGTACCAAACACTAAGGCTTTAAATCCTAAAAATGGGTCTTTGGAGGCTCAAAGTGAGGCTTTGGGCCCTCCAAATTGCACGCGGAATCCTGAACCTGAGGCTTTGGTCCATGACAAGGAGATTGGAAGATAAATGTGAGGCTTTAAGTATGAATGATTTAGTTGTTCTTTAAATCTTCCTTTCAGACAGTATAATTACCTTGATTATTTCACAGTCGCTTCAAAAGCAAATGTCGCCTGTGCCCCCTTTGTCCAGAGACAAGAGATTTCCTCAGAAAAACCGTTCTCCTCAGTGCCCTGCCATGTCCCTGCCCGGTGCAGGGGCTCCTGGCACGGCGGGGGCACTGGGGGAATGCCCGGAGGGGTGGCAGGGCTGGAGCTGCCCCGGGCTGTCCCCTGTGCCTGCCCTGGCTGGTCCCCAGAGGGGCCCTGCTGTGGTGGGAGGAGCCAGGAGCCTGTGGGCGCTGGGAGGGTGTGGCAAGGCCCCAGGGACTGTCGGATACACCCCCCAGTGTCACCCATACACAAAGACCCTGACGTAGGGCTGCTGGGCTCAAACAATGCAGCTGGGGTCAGCCGGGCCTGGGGCTCCGTGGGGGCAGGGGCAGAATGACACGCTCCATGGGGAGCCAGGGGCACCAAGAGATGCCCTGAGCAGGACAAGGACAAAACTAAATGCCCCAGACAGGGCAGGGGCAAAACCAGCCACCCTCCAATTAGGCAGGGGCATAAAAGGCCACCTGAGCAGGGCCTGAGGAAATCCAGCACCCTGCGTGGGGAAGGGGCAAAATGAGCCTCCGCAAGCAAAGGAGGGGAAAAACTCAGCTGTTCCAAGAGGGACATGATGAAAGCAAGCCACCCAAGCAAGGCAGTGGCCAAACTGGACGCCTCAAGCAAAACATAAAAAGAGAAGAGCCTCCCCAAGTGGAGCAGGGGCAAAGCTAACTGCCCTGAGCTGAGCAGCAGCACAACTAACTGCCCCGAGCAGGACTGGGGAAAGGCAGAGGACACGAGTGGGGCAAGGGACAAAGTGGCCAGCTCAGGTGGAGCAG